AAAAGACAACAACTTAAAAGAAGTCTTGGACAACTACGAAGACGTTTAAGACCGAAATCTGTTTTGACTGGCAAAACTCCACTGATTCTATGCAAAAATTACTGCGATCACTTTGGGTATACAGAATGCAACTGGGGGTGCAACGAATTCTTTCAATCAAAAGTACTCAGATAAATTTTCAAAGCTCTACTATGTCACCAACAGCACTATTCACAACGACCTCAACATTACTTTCGTACAAACTGGTTCGACCCTGCTTCCAAAGATCATTCTAACCCTACTGCCAAAGTCCTCTCTACCCGTTTCCATATGGAGAACTATCCACATCCCTAAAACGAAGATAACCTCAAGACCTCCTTGCCCTTTATCTCTCATATTTAGTGCCATCGCTGACTGTTTTCTCATAACTAACGTCCTCCGAGTGTAGTATTGACCTTAGTGTCAGTGTTTTGATCGAGAAAGAAAAAACATATATTACGCAAATATTTGTAATATACACTGGCTACAAATAAATCATTATTTAAAAAAAACATATTTGATAGTTGCATTAACAGCGACAACAAGCGACGCCATTTTGATGATAATCTAGATAACTGGACATTACTTATTTGTCCAACAACGCTTTTCATCATTTTTCCGCTTTTCAGATTTGTACAGTGGGAACTTACTTCCTTCAACGAACTTGGAGCAACGAAGAACGAAGCTTACGATGACATCTGCCAGCGAATTGCAGAACCTTTTCCCTTACGTTCTTCAAGTCTTCGTAAGATGGCAGGAAAATCGAACTTCTTCATTTCCTCCAGATATCAGCAAAGGGTTAAAACGACAGTAATGAATAGACTTTCAAAACGCTAATTTATTTAATTGGGTTTACAACAAAAAAAGAGGGTATAATGAGGGGCGTATAATAATAATCTTTTCTTTATTTAAGTGTTATTTGTGTTTTACTTGGTACATACATATTTTTCTTTTTAGACTAGTCGCTCTTTTAATTCTTTCTTACTACTACAAATGCACAAATATCTTCTCATATATTGTTCTACGCATTATTTTGGTTCGATGTTAATAAACATGTTGTTATAAATTATTAATGATTATTTTGAAACTTTGCTCAATTGATTTATACTTTTTAACCTCGATCAAAAGTCTATAATCAATCAAATTCTATAAATTTGTTTTTACTGTATTGAAGGAGAAAAAGCATATTTTTGCTGTATTTTTCCAACTTACTAATTTTCCTGATTCTGTGCTTGATGTTTCGTGTTGATAAATGTTTCTTACGTACTAGTAAATGATATTATTTATAGACATTATTGTTTCATTATATTTTATAATCAATGTTGTTAATTTTTAAGATTTAGAAAAATAAAATCTACTTTGGCTTGCTCGTGCATTGCTAATGATGTCATTAGTTCTACATTTGTGACCCTTTTTAGTTCAATCTTAAAAGACGTTCAATTCATTCTTACATTTGATAAACAAGGGGAAAAGTATATTTTTGCTGAATTTGCTCTATTTTACTATTGTTCAATTCTCTATTTTGGATTTTTACCTAAGCATTACTAGTGATGTTTTACGTTGTTTTTTTTTTGTTCTATCTTGTGTTTGAAATGTTCACTTTTAATTCATTCATATTAGACAAAAATAAAACAAATTACATATATGTTTTATATGCTTGAATTTGTGTATGTATTAATAAACTTAATCCTCTTATTTTTTTACTAGGCAATTTTTTAGAAGGTAGGTGAATAAATTTAAGATAATACTTCTCGTGTTACGTTGTTTGATCATAGACCTCCCTCCCGAGATTTACATTTTTCTCAGTTGTAGGTCAATTTTCTCCAGTTTCTTCCAAGCTCGTTCACGAAGGCTTTTTCCCATCTTTTCTTTCGTCATTTATTTTTTCTTTTTGCAAATGTTTGATTTTTTTCTTGTTGATCTTTATCATCTCTCATGATATGCCCTGCCGATATCAGTAATTCAACTTTTGTTCTTAAGTCTTACACTTCTGCCGGTTGTCGTAATGATGTACTGTTCTCTTTCTCCTTTTGCTTTGTCCCTGTCATACTCCATACTCCTTTCCCTTGGGTGTTGAAATGTTTTGTGCAAGTGGCTGTCTGAGCTCTGTAAGACGGGGCATAACTTGAATCTTGCACCTTATATTTCTATTTGTGGCATTTTTATTTTTCATAATTTCTTTTAAGCCCCAGTATTTGCTCCAAGATTTTGCTATTTTTTTTGTTATTTTGTTTTGTTGAACAAAACAGCCTTTATTAACTTTCCTTAATAAATGGTTTCCTCGACCTATTGTAGTTTTCTTCCCATTATCTCGATGTCCTGTTTTCTTCCGTTCATCATTGTTCTGGTTCATTTTGCATGGTGAGTTTTAAAGTTCATTAAACGAAGTTAGTCCCTTAGTGCGTCAGTCTTCTCCATACTTCTTACAGTCCAACATTTTTTGTCCAATGATTTTTTTAACTTTATGTTTTCAAATTTTTCTTTAAATACATTCCATTATATTTAGAGGTCTATTAACCAAATAACTTCTTTCAATCAATTAATCCTTTTATGTAAGGTTTTGACTGAAACGAAAAAGATCGAAGTAACAATAGCTCAAGTGGTAGAGCAGCGGCGTATTTAGCCGAAGGTCGTGGGTTCGAATCCCGTTCGTGGCACTAACTTTTTCGTTTAAACCAAAACCTTACATAAAAGGATTGATTAATTTAAATACAGTTGAATAACATTGGTGAGAGGATGTTGCCTTGTCTTTCAACGTCCGTTAGATGCCAAAATATTCTTCAGTTGTGTCGATGCGTACCCTTCATTTTCTCTGTACATTTTTTTAAAAATTATTATCAAAATATTTGGAAGTGTGCATTGTTTCCCCAGGACATGAATGCATGCATGTATCGGGAAACATAGAGAGCCGAACGCCTTTTTTTGGTCCACAAAAGCCAAAGGTATACTGTATTATACTATCCATTGATCTATAAACTGATGGAAGTCAAGACAAATGCTTACAACTATACCTACACAGCAGACTGACGTGGAATCCCCAAACAAGACTTAAGGGACCGCAACATAACAGAAGACTTTGACAAATACGAAAACTTTTAGGACCGAAATCCGTGCTGACCGTCAACACTAACCTTATACAAGACTTTACTGCGACCACTTTGAACATACGGAGTAGAACTTTGGGTTCTGCCAAGCCATCCAACAGACAGTGCATGCAAACTTTCCAATCAAAAGTCTTCAGAAAAATCGTCAAAGCTCATTATTACGTCAGTAAACTCGCTACCGGCCGCGGTAGCCGAGTGGTTAAGGCTCCGCTACTCTCGGCAGTAGATCCCGCGATCGTGGGTTCGATCCACCGTCGCCTCTGAACTTTTTTGAAGGGGACCGGTGGCCGCAATTGAAAGAAATTGACACGGCACTCATCAATGGAAGCAGCGGGATCAGATCTCAGCGACCCTGAATTTGGTCCCAACCCCCTTCAAAAATGAGTACCTTCGATGGAAGAACACCGGCACACCGGGTGCTCAAATTCACACTTGTGTTGCGAGCCCCCAAAAATGGAGCCAGAGATAAAGTACAATAAGATGTACAGCGCTACATCCAACTTTGCTATCCACAGTAACAACAAACAACAGTATTTTTGTCAGCAAACTAATCAGATTCTGATTCCAAAGATGTTACACCAACTCTAGAACCATCCTAATTCTACGGCTCGAACTCTGTAAACATACCCAGCCGCTTCTATCGCATCCAAAGAATCCTAACCTTCCAGTACAAATTAGATTAGGTAAAATACAAAATAAACAGGGTAAACTAAATGTATTATCCTTGACCGTATTGCCACCATATACCACCATAAAGAAAAAATACAATCGTGCTCATGTTCCGTGAATGGTAAAAAGAGTCGATCGCTATCAGCGCTACGCACTTCACACTTTCCACCCAAAAACGTAAAAAAGAGGCATAGATCTATAAATGGAACAAAACACTCTATTTAAAAAGAGGTCATAGCAGTAAAAAATCGTTAACACCAACAAATTAACTACCCGTGATAGAACACCAGTGTTGAGAGTCAAAATGACTTCTTAGCCACATGCATCACACAATCGCTGAGTATGTTTAAACACAAATTAGTCTTTTCATTTAAATAGCGCGCTGAAAGCCTTAGCTGATATATAATTTTCTAGTGTAAGACCATGAAGTTTTTGCCATTTTAGTTTATTGGACGTAATAAAGTCGCATATGGTTCAGTTGTTGAGCATTTACCCTCGGTTTAATCAAAACTCAGATACCGATCACTACAAGTACAGATTATAAATCCTCTCATACCGTTGTCCTCCGCTTTATTACACTAATAAAATTCTCTCAACATAAAGACACAGCGTTTGGATTTACTATACGACTACAACCGGGGTGGAGAGGTTTTTACGAAAATAATTGGAGCATTTGACGAACGCAAAGGTCATTTTCCACGTCGGCTAATCCGTTATTTTAAACTAATTACATCTCCATTACTATGGCTTACTTGTCCAGGGGCAATTAACGCACGCTTATTATTAATAAACTACCTCGAGTGGAAACGGACTGCAATCGAGTTGTTCCACTTCCGTGCTACCCTGGCCCTAGGGAACAAGGAAATTTGACATCCATTTTTCTGTTATCAAGACAAGAGTATTCTATTAATTTGCAGATGCAATTAAGAAAAGTATTATACAATTATTTTACGTAACTTAATTGGTAATTCTTCCTTAGTCGTCATTATGACTATAAGTTTCAGAAAACAAACATACCTTGATGACTGTTCTGTCGTACTGACGTTATCTTCAGTATAAATGAAATGTTTTGATTTTTGTACAAAAGTAGGAAAATTTTCAGTAGATTTTTTTTATGAAACCAAGGTTTGATCTATAAATTGTTAGAGAGCAGGCTCGGCCTTGCACAGCTTCCAGGATGAAAACAAAAACACTATACAGGAAATAAGATTTAATAAATTAATAATAAAAAATTATGTACAAAAGAGATTGAGAAGAAAGCCTGCACGGACTGATACAGTCGCGCCCTGAGTTGTTTCCCGGTTAAGACGGTCAAAGGTCATTCGATGGTGTTCGGCTGCTGGCCGCTATACGCAAGGTAATGCGCGTTGTCGGACCTGTGACTATCGTAATGGACGTGTGTCGTCTCCTCGTGGGGCTTGCTCACCAATTTTTTAAGCCCGACAATGGAGGCGATAACAAGGGCGACTTTACCAATCATAAACGCACTCGCCGCCATCCAACCGATGAACTTCAGCTTGAGAGGTATCAAAATTGCAGCAGCTGTGGCGAGAGCTACTCCGAAATAGGCCCAGACCTTCTTCTTTTTACCTCGACCCTCTGAAAGTCAAATACAAAATGGTATATTGTTGAATTATAAAATTGATACAAATGTATGATTTACTGCAATATTTAAAAAAAAGTCTTTCGTCCTCCTAAATGTTAGATATTATGATGTAAACATAAATAAAGAAACACAATCAACAAAACTGTAAAAAAGACATTTTCTCAACAACAAAAATTAAACAATTTGGACTGCATCTTTTGAAATTTGACCAGAAAAATAATAATTCTTCATGATGCAAGAAAGAAAAACAAACAAACAGCAAAAGATAACCAATTTTTAATCATTTGTGGAACTGAACATTCTCTACTTGCCAAGAAACTAACTAGCATAAATTCACTAATTTCGTGGTCCGCTTGACCAATTAACACTAAAGCTCTCCGTCGCCATTTCAATTGTCGTCGAGAATCCAAACCGATTACACGACATTTGAAAAATGGCAAAAAGGAGGGAAAATTCAAAAGGTGGGGTTGAGATGGGAATTTAGTGTCCGAGTGGATCGAAGTCACGATAGCTCAGGTGGTAGAGCAGCGGCGTATCTAGCTGAAGGTCGTGGGTTCGAATCCCACTCGTGCCATTAACTTTTTTTCATCTCAACAAAAAACCTTAATTAATTGTAAACTAACTAGCATAGTTCAACAATTTAAAGTATTATCAACAAAATATTTTCTGAAACTAAGCATGTATCAACCATTTTTTTTTTTTAATTTGAAAATCGGAAGAGTAGTAATTTGTACTTAAAAATGTTAATGCATAGTTGTAAAGGTGAGGAAACGCCTGGCGCAAAATCGAATCCAGTAAGTCACCCGACATGTGTTCACCGACTCGCAGGCCAACATCCAGCATCAATTTTATTTGACAATGGGTTAATTTTTAATCTTTCAGATAGAATGGTTGAAATCAGGGAGATTTTTGTAAGATTTCGTTTTTTGTTTTGGTGCCTCACCCTGCTAATATCCCAGAACGACAAATGAATGGGTGGCCGAAACGTATCTCACAGACTCAATCAACGAGGATAGGCATACTAGGATGATCATAAGTGATCAAAAACTAAGAATACTAACATTTTTAAAATGAATCGATATACTCACCCCACCTCCATTGGCAAATAAGATTAGAAAATGTAGAAACTTTTTGTTTCTTGTTTTTAATAATTTTGAATATTGTTGAAGAGTAACTTTCTGACGTTGGAATGAAAATAGTACCTACTAACTTTTTATCTTGGCAGTCTGAAAACCCGAACGATATAATGTCAATCACGAGTGATAGCGCGTTTTTTAAACCTAATTAGCAAAGTAATGATGATGATAAGCATGCTCAACATATTTTTTTAGGCTGGGTTTCTTGTAAAATAACAAATGCTAACAAAAATAAAGAATAAACCTGTTGATGATGTTCACTGAGATTATACGATAGTTATGCTATCATAAGAATATAAATAGTCTAGTAGTAGTATAGCTTAGTCATGGGTCGACAAACATCTACTGGTCATCTCAGGCCTCTGCATACTAAACGGAAAGCACATTTCACGCACCTTTCTCACTGATTCTCGCATAATTTTTCTTGTTTTCTTAACTCACTGACTTCTCGTTATTACATCTGCACCTACTAATGCAATGCTTACAATGAGAGTAAAAACAAAAATTCGATACATCCGATCTGTCTGATGACAATGTCTGATTTCATTCACTCCGGCAAAATACTATCGATATTCCTCGAGCCGGTTTAAACCACCAAATGAATGCTAATAAAATACTTTCATTTTCCAGGCATCACACTCTCGCCCACCAGTACTCGATATTACTTGGAGTAATGGGTAGAACCCTCATTCACACTGATTACATTACATTTTATTACGTTACATTTTAACCGACACAGAACACACAAGAGATACACACCCTACATATTTGGTAATAAATAATATAAGTATTTTCGGTTTCCAGAAAAAAAGTTGAACTTTCAGAACATAAATTTATTTTATTTTTAATCCAAAACATAATTTTCTTTGTTTTCTAAACATACTGCCAACATTCTTTAAGACTTAGACGAAACAAAATCTGTATGTACGATTTTAATATCGTTTTTGCTAAAAAATTCCCTACCTAAGTTGTCGTTTTGAAGCCGCCTTCCTCAACATGTCTTTGATGACTCTCTCCTTGAAGAAAACGCCGGAACCACTTTTTTTTTTTTTTTTTTTTTTTTTTGCTGGGGCTTCCGACATCTAGGTCATTTCAGCCCCTATACCCGTTCAAACACTACATTCATACAAATAAATACATTCATACACTTAAATACATCCATACAGTACACTCATTCCGTTTGGTCGGTGCAGTACTTGATATTCCTCCACCGAAATATACTTAAACTAAACTAGATGGGGTTCGATGGGGTACTTTTATAAATATTCCGCCATCGACCCCGAACACAAATTCTTACGCTCTCATTGTTCGAGGGGTGATGATGACGTTATATTTCACCCTCACCCCTCGCCATTCACGCTAATAAATACATGCACTCAGACAAAACATATAGACACACAACACATAAGACATACTATATACAATAAAAAAAACCCTAAAAAGCGGAACTGGGGACTCTGAAACTCGCTACCGTGTTCGAGAACTCTTCTTAAGTCAGGCGGCATGCCTACACGCTCTCTGTATGGAGCCAAGGCATGACACGCCTCTATTATGTGGGACACATCGAGCAACCTTTCTCTGCACCTGCGCGGGCTTTGGCCCAAAAGGAGGTGCCCATGTGTCAACCGCGTATGGCCAATCCTCAGTCGGGTGAGGACGATCCCTCGTCTCCTGCTCAGATTCTCTGAGGGCCATCTACCGGTCGTGCTCTTGACTCGCAAGAGCCTCTCCGACGACCCCGCCCACTGACGCTGCCATCTTTCTTTTATCATATTTTTAACTACGTCAGGGGGCCTGATCGCGATGGTCCGATCTGGAGGGTGGGACGTACCGGCTTTCGCCGTCTCGTCCGCGCCTTCGTTACCCTCCAGGCCGACGTGTCCGGGAATCCAGACAACAACCACCGTTTTTCCGAGAGGCTCCAACTCCGCGTATTTCTCTAACAAGAGCACGACGGGAGGGTTCACAGAGAACCTGTCGAGTACGGCCCAGACAGCGCTCAGAGAGTCGGTACATACGAGGAAGGCTGAGCCCTCCCCGGTCCGCACCGCCTCGAGAGCGTGCCAAATCGCATACAGCTCTGCCGTGTAAACGCTGCAATGAGGGGGCAACGACCAGGAGGTGGCCACTCCCTCGCTATACACAGCACACGCCACACCATCGCCGGTCTTGGACCTGTCTGTAAAAATCAGACGAAAACCGGCGTATCTATTTCTAAGTTCAAGGAACTTAGCCTTGTAGAAGTATGGCGGCGTACACGATTTGGGCAAGTTCGCCAGATCGTCGCGGACGAGTACGGCCGGAATGGTCCAGGGGGGTGTCGGCCGGTCGGAACCACTATTGACTCAGTTACTAAGTTGTCTCCGAAAATTCTACATAAATGTCGGCAGGCATCCGCTATACCCGACATTCTAATATTATATGCCCGAGATCAAACCCATATAGCAAATAATGCCTCAAATGATTTTTTTTTCTTCTATCGGCAGGCGTCGCAGTTTATTGATGACAGACTGACTTTTGAGATCAACTACCACTTTCTTAGCACTATCTTTTAATAAGGCTTTTCCTAGAGAAAACATAGTTAGCCTTTAATGAAGGATTGCCTTTATAAGGTGAAAGTCGAAATTGGAAAAAAACGAAAAAATTCATTCACACACACCAACACATTCAAACACTCTGACCCTGAGGAACTGAAACCGTGCGATCCGGCCTCGGAAGACGTGTTTTCTGAATGTTCTGTTCATGAATATACTTATAGCATATTATCATTTCCAATCAATTCTCTATTAATAAAGATTAATTTTTAACAATAACTTATAGTTCCATTATACTTGTTGTCATCTTTTTAATCAATCTTTATTTTCTTATTGGTTCAAGTAGAAAGGACTTCCACTACAGAAACTTTCTTCGTAAAGGATTTCATCAAAATCAACGTGCCTACATGTAAAGAGTTAATTTAACCATGTTTTCTTATATTTCGATCTCGTTTAACTTATGATTTTTCCTTCTTGAAGATGGGATAACAGGTCATCTCAAAAAAACCACAACCAGTTTTTATCCACACGTTTCGGATTTATTTTAATCCTTCCTCAGGTGATTTAACGCAATGGTTAAAACAGTGGTCGTCAGTCATTAATATTTTATAACAGTTTATTTTAAAAAAGAGCCAGTGTGGTACACATTCAGAATCCGAACAAACGTTTTAATATTTTTCTGTATTATAAAAATATTAAAACGTTTGTTCGGAACCTGAATATGTACCACACTGGCTCTTTTTTAAAATAAACTGTCATAAAATATTAATGACTGACGACCACTGTTTTAACCATTGCGTTAACTCACCTGAGGAAGGATTAAAATAAATCCGAACGTTTTGGATAAAAACTGGTTGTGGTTTTTTGAGATGACCTATTATTCCACCTTCAAGAAGGAAAAATTATAAGTTAATTTAACCTTTGTTAAAGTTTTATCCCTTATAGAAGCCGTTTGAGATCGAACAACTAAGATTTTAGAGCTATTAAATTTAGTTAATTAAAAAGGTTTTTACTAAGCTATTAAGCCTTTGTCAGTTATAACTTACAAAAACGAGCGAATCATGTAGATGCTTGCTATAAAACTTCGCCTTACCGGTCAGATCTGTGAGCCGAAGAGTGAGCGACCTCGAGGTGACCAGCTTGTCGAGGTTCTCCCAAATTTTGTCGTAAGCATTCGCCGGCTCTGATCTTCCTGAGTCTATGATTTCTGCCGCGTCGTCTTGTCCCGGTGATTTTGTCAGAGACAGACCAGCGGCTAGGGGGATGCTGTCGGCCTCGAGGGCCTTGCCCAACGCAGAAGCCGCTTCTTCTTGCAAGCAGACGTCCATCTCGTCTTTCAATAAACACCTCTCAAGAACACTGTCGATCACCTGCCGATTGGAATTTTTTATTATTTATAAGCGTTTGTTAAGTAAAAAAACGGGCTAAATTAAATTACATAAAGTTAGCTTAGAATCTTTAGTACAGGTCGGCTATAAAAAATCATGGATGTTATGCAGAAACTACAAAAGCTTTAAGTTGATCATCGTAATGTCATAATCCTTAGCCAAGTGAGTTAAAGTTATTTTAAAACTTTTAGCACCGAAAATTTATATTTTCAACGTCCAAAAAATAGATGAATGACGAACTGTCAGAGAATTTTGCCAGTCACTTGAGATCCTCGCCTTGCTTACATCCCTCACAGGCCCCTAAAGGTAAAAAACCCCGATTGACTGGCTAAAGCAGAGAGGAAAGGCAGACCAAAATGATCGAAAACTGCACACCTACAAAGTTATCATCCCGTAGACTTAGACGTAACAAGATAACTTAACTTAGACCTTTTAGTACGGGTTTATTCCAACTGATTTCAGCACCCGACAATAAAAATATTATTGTTACGCAATGCCTTCAAACGTTTTAAGTTAAAACTCGTAAAGTAAATCTAATTTTATTTTATTTTTTATTTTATTTTATTTATTTATATTTTTTTTTTTTTTGTTACGAGGGTTCGCAACAGCAGAGGTCATATAAACCCTCAGGGTGCCAGTGTTTTTTGAAAAAAAGCCCATTTCTAAGTATGTCGGGTTCGAATGCAGGGCCACTGGATTCGAACCCGGGACCTTTACCTTACAGTGATGAGCGCCGTGTCAAAGACTAAACCTTGCGGCCACCGACGCCCCTAAGTAAATCTAATCTTATCGTTATTATCATTAAATAGGTTTAAATTAATTTAGAACTTTTACCATTGGTTTAAAAATTTTTGGTTTCAACTGTCAGTCCAGGAATCACGGAGATGATTTTATTTTCTTAAATTTCTTTCCAAGAAAACAAACCTTTTTGTATCAATATAATTATTTTTCTGTATTTTACTAAGCTAGATGGTATAAAATTGTTTACATTTCGTAAATTCTATCTAACTCTAGTTAAATTTATTTATTAATAATAATAATTATTATTATTATAGATAATTATTAATTATCTATTATAGCCAATTAAGGCAGGTAAATGCAGAGGAGGTTGTTTGTAATACAATATTAGTTCATAAAGCACAAAAATATATAAAACTTTTAGTAATGTTTAGCCTGTGAATTATTTCGTCTATTCGTACAAAATACAAGAGTTGCTTTCTTTTCTTTTATTACTGAACTTTTAATTCTTACAAAACGTATGTTAACACATTAATTTAAAAAGTTTTGATAAATGTTTGGAGAAAATTGATTAATTTTTATATTTCCTTTCTTTAAGGAAGTAGAAACAATTATTTGCAATCCTCTGTGGTTTGCAAATACAATTATAATTTGACAAGCGATAAATTGTTCGTCTTTTACTTAATACTATGCAAATAACTGTTAATTGCTCATTAATTTCAATACTTTTAATTATTATTGAACTCCGTAAAAATTAGTGGATAAATTAAAATATACTCAATAAGGATCAACACACGTCCAGTCCGTGTGTAAGCTTTTTACGGTTTATAAAAAATTATCTAATACCAACGCAATTTTAAATTAAATTAAGAAACGGTTGCTTAGCATTATTTTCTATTAAATCAGTTTTGATTTATTAAGTAAAATGTAAAGTACTTGTTTAAAAAAATTAGTTTTAAGGTGACTATTGTATTACAGTTTAGATAACTTCCGGTCTCTACGGATGATCGGTCGCGCCGTAACCTCCGAAAGTAGAATATTCGGTTCAGCTGGCATTTTATTAATGTGAACCCTGTTCTTTTTCTTCTTTTTTTTTTCTAACGAGTCATCCGAAAATGTTGATCTCAAAACACGCAACCTAAGAAGAGACGGGACATGAACTACATATTTTATCACAAAATCCGTCCTAAAAGAGCGACGGCGTGAAATTACACATTATATAGAGGCCAACGTGACAGACAAACGTCCTTACGCGTCCTAACAATAATTCAAAAGGGACAGTAATCCAGAAAGGAAAGCACGATGGACTCGACTAACGACACGGCGGATAGTTGGAGTACAAAAGTGGACATAGAATAGAAAAGACTTTCAGAATGTAATTGCTTGTTCGCCGGGAGATTTTTCCAAACAATTCCAACCGTCGCAAAAGAAGAGAAAAAGAATGGGAAAAACAGTGTCCTGGACACTCGAGAAGAGGATGCTGTGATTAGTTTCAAACGTTTTATTTTGCTTTCTTTCCATTTCACTCCTTTTCTTAAAAACTAAAATAAATGAAAAATATCTCCACTTATTTATGTGATAAAGAGATCGGTACCAAAAAATTCACCTATGTACAACGAGTAATTAAAAGATCTTTTAAATAAATTAGCACGCAAGCCTAGTAAATATATAACATGTATAAGTTTTAAATGAAAAGAAAAGAATCATTTTAGCTATATTTTAAGATTAAAGTCTTCCATATAAATTAGTTTGTTGTTTTTACTTTAATCGTACTAATTACTCACTAATTTTTCTGGTAAAGATTCTTCCTGCGTTTCTTTACGTTCATAAAACCTGTGTTTGATTTCGTACATGATAAACTGAAATTATGTGTGCTTATAAATCCCCGGATTTCTCCTCTTACCTTAAAAATCAAATGAGAAATAGTTTTGCAAATTTATGTGATTAAATGATAAATACTTAAAATTTGGTCGTGACGATCATCTTGGTCAGCCTAGGATCCGTCGCTTGGTTGGTCTGTCAGACCCAGTGCGATTTCCATGTCTGTGTCTTTACACACTGAAGATGGCAAAACGCCGAATCGCGTTATTACAGGTAAACCCAGCAAGGATAAATACCACAAAATAGATAGCTAGCAAATTTCAAGTTCAACAGACTTTTAAAAATCTCTCAATGATAACTATACTCGGCAAAGTCTTAAAAACCTTGAAAATAAAATAGATTTTTTAACTATTTCTTATTATTATAAAATAAGGATTCTTAAAAAGAAAACACTAAATTTTACAGAAAAAATCGTGTAATTTGATTCTTACCGATTGTCTTGAACTGCCTACTCGCTGAGTAGGTCAGTCAAATTTCAGTATTTCTTTTTCAGTGATATACAATTACACACTGATGGAGATGAGGAAATGCCGAAACAGGCAGTCCAAACCAGCGAGGGTAGGTAGCCCAAGATGATCGGAAAGGATGAATTTAAAGGGTTAACACTCTGCAGACCACGAGAGAAAATCTCGCGAGAAAAATCATGTAAGATTCAAGTTTCGGAAAAACTATTGTATTTTTGTAAACATTATTTGATATAATTTCAAACTTGATTTCTTCTGTTTAAGATCCTTTCTGCATCACTTTAAATTTGCAGTAAATCTGCTTTATTCCACACATGACCTACATAAAGTAGAATGTTTACAGCCAGCTCGACGGTAAAATTTAATAGTGGCCAAATTAGTATTCATGTGATCGCTCACGGGGAAAGCGTTGTCCAAAATATAATCCAGATAAAGATTAAGACGATGAAGCACTGACAGGACAAAATTAAGCTCGTTCCAAAACCTGGAAGGGTCAGATATCTTAACTGGATGATTCACAATAATAAGTCAAATCGAAAATAAATTTCGTTTAATTAATTTGTTTATACGCTTTAATTAGACGGCCATGAGATAAAAACATTTTTTTTTATTTTTAATTAAATATTAGTAAAAATTTCATAATTTTTCTAATAATATAGAATTATTAATACATTTTTTAAATAATGTTTTAGATACTAAAATCCGTAAACAATTAAAAATGACAGCACCAAAACGTCTTAAACTTTGTATTCTTTGTAAATTTTACTGACGAAGGATGATTTGAAACTAAAATATACGGCAAGACGTATCTACGTGTTGTCTTGGTTTCTGCTTTTTATTTAAATATTTTATTATTATTTTTATTAATAATTTATTAAATACGTAATTGATATAAAAAATTGTTGCATCTAAAAGAGTTTATTTATTATCAAGAATATATCTATCAAGAATCAAGAAAATCAAGACTCATCAATGGTCAAAAATACCTCTGTGTTATTTGATATTGTGTTTTTAATTATCGATTAAATTATTTAACAAGATTTCATAAATTTATGTAATTTCTCAGACAAGGAGAAAGAAAAATACATAGAACATCCAAAAGTTAAAATAACATTTGATTTATTTTATGTAGTCGTTATTGTTTAATAGCCTCAAAAAAACTAAATATGACTGGCCATCGAAAGGCTTTAAATTTAGTGATCTTTAGAATTCGGATATTTTCTGATGAGTTAAAACCAGAAGAACTAGCGTAAAAAAGACAGAACGAAAAAATTAAATATTTTATTAAGTGATACTAAGTAGTATTGTTTGATGTAATATTTTTTTTGGCATCTAATAGAGTTTATTTATTACAAGAATCAAGAAGAAATCAATCAAGAGTCAACTAAAATAAGAATTACCATCGGTCAAAAATACCAGTGTGTTGACTGATCGTGTTTTTAATTATCGATCAAATCGATTATAGTTTCCATTATAAATAGTGTTTTGTTTAGCAGCCGGAGGTTCAATAAGTGGTTGAATTAGTGAGGAGTAGTCAGGTTAGATGTATGTCAGAAAAACACCTTTTTCATTTAACCGCCCAAGTTTCGACCTTTATTCGAGACATTTTCAAGGCCTGGGTTATACAAATATATGTTGATTGAGAAATTGTGTAAAAATTAAACAATAAAAATGTAGATAATTATGTTAACATAAAGATGAATATTAATATAATCAAAGTATTCTTACTCATATAAAGTGTAAGATAGTATACGTATGACATGTAGTGTCATGTTGGTTAAGCGTATTCAGAGTGAAATTGTTGTGAAATGTGAATTTGTATCCTGCTGTTTTTATAAGATTGTGACCATCCTGTCAATCAACATATATTGGGTTGTCCGGAAAATAATGCAGGATTTTGGTATTAAACAAAAAAAAAGAAACTAGTTACTTTAAAGCAATGTTCTTTAATCAANGAGTAATCCTGTAAACGTAAACAGAATATTTTATATAGATTTTTTTTAATGAAAACTTAAAATCCTGCATTATTTTCCGGACAACCCAATATTTGTTTACCCCGGTCTAGATGATGATCCGAAGAAAGGTCGAAACGTCGTCAATTAAATGAAAATGGCGTTTTTCCAATATACATCTGACCTGACCTCTCCTCACAATTTCCACACCATTATAAATAGTTCCAAAATAATATATAATAATTACCTATACATATTTATAATATCATAAAAAAATGATATTGAGCAATCGCCCAGTTTATAGCACAGAACTAAATGGTGCTGGTAAAATAGCTACGTTCTCCTAACACATTTAATTAATCCAATCAAATAAAAATACTCCATTAATGAATAAATGAATTTAAAATTAATAATTTAGTTAATTACAAAAATATGTTTTCTATTACTGTCATTATTTCTAAATAATTAAATTGGAGTGCGTAAAAATTTGATTATCATGAGTTTGTGTATGAGTAATATTTCACCAATAAAGTAAATTCATAAAAATAAATTATTTTATTATTTGTCTCTTGTTTAAACAGTTTTATTTATTTTTTATATATCTGCAAGGGTTGAAATAAAACTATTTAACATTAATATGTTTATAAGCCACGTGTTTTTTTCGGTAGTTTTTTGTTTTTTTTAAAACACCCTATTTTACATTGAGCAATTCTCGTGTACCTTTGTAGAAAAGTACGCTTAAAAAGTTTGTTTTTTCGGTTGCTATTGGCACACTTGTTTTTAACCAGCACCCCCTCGGCGAAATTTTAAGATGTCAGGTCGACTAAACACTAATCCTTCATGTACTGAAATGAAGTCCGTACTTACGTTGTACGTTGACGCTTCAACCTCATCGTCCGCGGCTGCCAGGTTGAAAGTCAAATAAGCCAAAAGTACGGTAAGAAGGCGCATCTCGGACGAAGTACTTGAACTGCAAACGGAGCCGCGAGGTGCTCTCATTATAAATAATGCTGCCCTCACCACATCTCCGGCCCCACCACCTCCGGTCAGAGTTTATTCGCATTCTGATTCATTTAAAAACTGTATTGTAATACTAATTTCTTTTTGTTTTTATCTATTCACTAGACCGAAACTAGTAAAGCCCATGTAAAGATTGTGAACACGCAATAAAACACACACACACACACACACACACACACACACACACACACACACACACACACACACACACACACACACACACAACACAGGGGCAATGCCGAAACGCGTTTTGAGTAGTTCAACAAACCCGCGAGTGAAGACGGACTCAATAAGTAATCCAATGCCAGTTCAGTACTCAATAGCATGTATGATTTTTAATTTATCCAAACGGATGGGATGCATAAATATCCCAAGACTGGAAACGCGTTTAAATAAAAAATATCTATATCACTATCAGTTTTTATACCACTTTTGAGTACAATCTTCATTGTAATAATCATCAAGAATATTTTTTTAAATATTGCAGTAATGAATAACATTTTACAACATTATCAGTGCTTTTGGTATTCGTATTTTTATGAAATTTTGGACTTGAAGTAAGAATTTTTTCCATAATTTTATGCCAATATGTTATAAGTTGAAAGGTTTTAAGTATAACATGGTCGTACAGGGGCAATGCATACCTTTCCCACTACCCCAATAGAAACAGAACTCGACCTCCCACCCTTACATGTTTATGTGCAAAAGGTGGCTGTGTGAGTGTCAACTGACTCCTGAGATACGAGAAAATAAAACTAGATCTAAGGAGGACCCCCTAAATTCTGGAAAAAATTAAAATAAACGAGATGGCTATGGCAAAATGAGAGAAAAGCTCAACTTTGTCACAACCTTCCAAGACGAGACCTTTGGAAGAAAGGTGGCCCCAAGCTTCAAGAAGGGGCCCTAATATGGTACGCAGATGGATTTAAGATGAAACAGAGTATAGGCATAGGGATAAAAGAGCCGAATTTCATCCTAGATGGCCCTTGAACTAAACCCAACGATTTTCGAAGCTGAAGTCTACGCAATATAACCCTGTGCACAGGATTTAATAAAGTCATTATAAATTAAATAAACATGAAAGGTGCACAAATATACGTAATCTAAGACAGCCAGGCAGCCATAAAGGCCCTAAATGAAGAAACTATGGCAGCTTTCACCATAAAGTGGGTTCCCGGACATGAGGGCAGAAAGAAATGAAAAGGCTGACCAACTAGCAAAAAAAAAGGCAACCCTCTCACTCGTGGTACCAGAACCACAACTAAGTACGCCGGAGCGTGCGCTTAAGTTGGAACTAGAAAAATGGATTAAGAATGAAAAACTCAAACACTGGACAAACCTCCAGGCAGGAGGCAAGTTAAGATATTTATAAATCTCTTTACCTCTCTCCCTCTCACTCTCTCTCTCTCTCTCTCTCTCTCTCTCTCTCTCTCTCTCTCTCTCTCTCTCTCTCTCTCTCTCTCTCTCTNCTCTCGCCCCCTCTCCCTCTCTCCCCCTCTCCCCCTCAGTTATGTTGACAACAAACTCTTCGACAACGTTAAATACTACTGAAAGTGAATTACCAAAAATCGTACAATTCATGTCAGAATTAGGAACTTTGATTAATTAAAAAGCCATGGGTTATTCTCGGGATTCGAACCCAGACCGCTAGCGTGGCAAATACGAGTCGGATGCCCAACCACTCGGTCCCATTTCTAAACTTAATACACCCCTTACACGTCTTTTTTATATAATTAGAGCTTAATTTTTTAAACGTATTTTGAAGGTTTTTTTGTGGGGGCAGCAAGATGATATTGTTTCCAATTGTTTCAAATTTTCATTTTAAAACAATTCTTACTGGCCGATTAAGAAAAGTAATCCGTTGCATATCCTTTGTCTTAGAGTAATTTAATTGGTAAGATGTTATCTCCGATAGCCAGGTAGCAGAGTAACTATTTCAAAATGTTTAACGGCCGTGACCGCTGTTTCTGATGAGGCCAAAGATTCGTCCGGTACTGAATGTCAGTATTCTGTGTCGTTACAGTTTTAAGCACCGCGGTGCCGGACCCTTATCTTCCACATACATAATCAATCTTAGACAAATGGAGATGGCGATGGGAACAGAGCATCCGCCAAACACGACCTTAATAATTACACGGCGGAGAATCGTGCCAGAAAAGGGCCGGTAGGTCGACACTGTTTTACAGATTAATTGCCTAAGCTTAATTTAAAAAATTGTACCATGGGATAATTGCCTACAACATGAAAATGATAACATTTTTCAATGGAAGTAACAGTGACAATAGAAATTTCTTAGTAAGTACAAAACAAACTAATTATTTAGAACTTAATTAATTATACCAAATAGATATTTTATGTATGTCATAGTTGATTTCTTAAGATATAAATCTTCATCTTTCTTTTATTTTAATAAACATTTATCTTTCGTTGACGTTGCAAAAAAAACTATCATCTCAAAAGTTAAAGCATTAATCTCCAGCAATGTTTATTAAAATGCAAGATGAAGATTTATATCTTAAGAAATCAACTATGACATGCTCATTAATGTAAGATTTATTTTATTTTGTCACAAAATTCAAGATTTAAATATATAAAAATTTATTTGAGAGAAAAATTAATAAAGCAGGTATCGATTTTGACGATCTGTTCAAAATGTGAACAATCAGAGTTCTAGGCTTATAAAATTATTTTACTAATTTAAATAAACACACATAAAATATACACACAAGTACAAAGTTGAGCCTATCAGTTCTCACAGTCCACCGGCAACTCCTGCTTTTGTAATTTACAATGAATTACCGGCAAGCCTCGAGAATCACCCACCTTGTATTAGCAGTCCGGGGTCTTATCCGTCCAACCACCGAGGTTGGGCACCATGGGCTACCAACAGCTAGGTCATTTCAGCCCCAAACGCAGTTTCTCGATCAAAATCCCACAACACTTTTACCCACTCTTAAATATATTTTTTTACTATTTACATACTAATTACTCAAGATGAAGTAATATCACAGTACCACAATGGTTAACCAATATAAATATCTCGGAGTTGTCCTAACTTCCAGACTCTCTTTTACCCCTCATCTAAAAGCCAAAGCTTCAGTGGCAAAGGTTGCTTTGAATAGAACATGGTATTACTTTTTGGCCCAGAATCTAATCCCGGTTTACTCTAAGTACAAGGTATTTAATGCAGTGTGCCGTTCTATTTTGTGTTATGCAGGCCAGGTGTGGGGGTTCCAGGATTGTGAAGTGATAGAAAGAGTGCAACGTTTTTTTATTAGGAAGATCTTCTCACCGCCTAATTCTACTCCAAACTATATGCTTTATATGGAGACGGCAGTGGATAAAATTTTCCTTTTTACGCTTTCCCTGCATTTTTCATTTCTTTTAAGGGTACTTAAGGGCCCTGTTGCCCGAATCTCCAAAATTACTGCTCTCGAGGTTATTAAATCTAATGGTTCTTGGTTTCGGTAATGGAATACTTTAGCTTCTCAATATGGTCGCGATTTTTCTTTTTGTTTAGAAAACCTATCGAGTTGGCCCAATTATACCAGGAAACTTTTGTGCAGACTACGTGATCAACATCGTGTGAGTTGTGAGCATCGAGCTCAGGTCTCCAACAGGTATCTTCTCTTTAAGGCCCTAGGCCACTCTAAGGAAACCTTTAACCTAAATGTTCAAGCTAGTGGGTCTATAAAACTTCCGACTCTTCGATGGCTTCTTAAACTCAGATGCGAGCAAGTGTTCCTCAATTTTGTGCCATGGAAGGAAGACGACGGAAATTTCTTGTGCTCGCTCTGTAACCTAAGAGTTAGGGAAGATATCTTTCATTTTGTTGCCCATACTGCCTAAACTCCGTATCCTGTATCTAGGCTACAAATCGCTTTCCAGGTCTCAGCTGCTTGATCTGTTAAATATCGTGGATATGGAGAGGTCGAAAGGTCTAGCACACTATGCACGTCATGCCTGGCAATATAGGTACGATTATAAACCGAGTCATAATTGTTTAACTTGTATCTAAAATCAGCTAGTTTTTATAATTTAGTTTTTACTTATAGTTTTCTATTATTACCATTATTATATAGTTTATTTTTATTTTTTATTTTTCGCTCGTCTGAAAAAGAACAGCCAACTTCCGGCAGACGGATAAGCATCCATGCTGAAAAATGTTTTTAATATTGTATATTATGTAATGCTTCTCTTTAATGTAAATAAAGCATGTTATCTATCTATCTATCTATCTATCTACTAATTACTCAAGATGAAGTAATATCACAACATTACACAACACATTACATACATTACATAACTTTAATTGAAATTCGTTGTGGTATTCAATAATTAGCCAACGGCCCTCTCATACCAGTCACAAAACGATCTATATGCAATAGAACAACTCTGTTTACTCCAAAAATCAGAACATGGAAACCGCTGCCGTACTCAAGCGCGATTGTCATATCGGATGGCATTCCTATACACTCCCTATATGGAGCCAAGGATTTGCACACTTTAATTAGGTGGGGCAATCGAGCAACCTTTCTCTACAAGCGGGACGTATATGCGGACTTTGGCCCAAAAGGAAGGGCTCGCACAATCTATTCTTAATCGGGTGATAAAATTATTTTAAGTTCTCAATTTCAATATAATTTCTTTATCTTTTTTTAGTTCTTGCTGATTATATATATTATATATAATTATACTTTGTTGATGCAGGAACATTTTGTGTAAATAAGTTAACAGAATGATTCACGTAGAAATTTCAAATTCTAGGTTTCTTTTCTTTACTGGTTCCTATTCATCCATGGGCATGTGTGTTAATTTATTTTTACTGAAGTTCTTCAATAAATTAACTCCAATGACCCATGGAAATTCAAATTGTTAACAGAAAAGCTCCAGTCGGTTGGAAACGTGGATGCATTAATTTGTTACGTGTTGTTATGTTTC